GGCAGGATGAATTATTAGAGCCCGTCTCTTGAACACCGCAAGTCTGAAGGGGACGGGGCACCATACTAGCTGGATGGTCTCGTCAAATCTATGTTCAAAAAATGCCAAATCACACGCGATGCGAAAATGAGAAACTGAATCTATTGTCTTTCGCATGGAGTACAAAACTGTTAGCCGATAATTTATATGTTTTAAATAAAAACTTAGAACACGTCTACCTTCAACGCTGTATAACGAGTATTACCTTGATGTATTTATTTATTATCATTAATGTATGTGTACGTTGAGTATGTGATTACGATCAACAGAAGGTCGAATCAATTTAATCGAAATTTACGCATAGCAAGCGAGGTAATTAATGGGGAGGGTTTAGCGTCGGTGAGTGAGTAAGCATTGGCACAGGTTAGTCGCAATTTCCTCTGTCCATAGTCTGGTGTGTAGGTGTACTCAATGTTCACAATACAAGTAACAAAAGTATCTACTAACAATTGCTTCAGGTTAAAGTTACATGATCACAACGCAGAGTAAATAAACCGGGCCAACTGCTTCGTTTCTCGCTTTTACTACCATATTGACTTTTAGCATATTTGTTTTAAACGAATTTTCAACGAATAGTACGATCCCGATTCAATGCTGGCCCTAATTTAATTTCTAAGTTTTAATATCGAGTTGACTTTTATTCGCCTGTTTACGTCATGAATTGTTTATATGTGCGGGAATTCCTTACTCGCTTGGGACGTGCCCGATACCAAAATACTCGTGCAATATTTTAGTGTAAGTAACAATTTTAGCCGAAAATTTCGGCTTCCTGACTTTACGGCCTTAGAGGTGTTGCGGTCAGGAAATGGCTATTATAGCTGTAATATGTATTATATATATATGATACCTTTCTTTTCTATATATGATCCTTAGTTTAATAAGCTAATGGAAAAAGCTTAGCAAAAAATCTTAAAAGTCGTGAGCATTTTTGTTAACAGCTCAATCTAATTGGCTCATTGTATTAGCACTTTATAGGTTAATATAAGTAAAAATACAAGAAACTTCTGGGCAAGAAATCATAATTTGTAAAGTTTTTTATTACGATAATTTATTTATTACAAGCCTTGTGCCGACATACATTAACTTTGTTAAGTAGACTATGAAAAGATTCTTCTAACATTAAGAATGTTTAAATTCAATTAAGAGAGGAATTCACTAAAAAAATTCTCAGCTTATAAAGAACTACAAAAAAACTGATTATTTATATTATTATCATTTTTTTTAAACAAACCGTTAAAAATAAACACATTTAAGTTTAATATTTTCATAAACTATTTTGGTTGCTTATTACAAATTGTACACAGTGTAACATTTTTGTTTGTTCACTTTCTCAAGGAAAAGAAGATTGAAACTTAACCTCTATTTTACATCATAAACTAACTTATCACTATTCAAGCAACGTACCTATCCCCTAAATTGTCCTAAGAAGAAGGTATTTCCATTTAAATATAATATTTATTTTTATTAATACTTAGAGTGACCAAGATTGTTTATAATAGAGATTGTTTATGTTTCGCTTTCATGCGTCAACGTCTTCATCAACTATGAAGACGTTGACGCATGGAAGCCACTGAACGCCATATATCTTTTATAAGTTCTGATCAGGGGATAGCGCCGGCCTGGTTCAGCAGTGGTCTTGTATAGGCTGTTGATGATGATGATGAGACTAGTTAACAAGTGGCGACTAGTTAATAATCTGTTCACTAAACGTCTCATAGCTTTTTTCTATAAAATAATAATCCTTCTTAGATACTCGTATTTTGACCTAATTCTTAAGAGATTATAAAATAAAATCATACACCATGATTATCATCCCACAATCTATCAAAACAAACAAAAATATTTCAGATATTAAGCCCACGCAAAGCTATAACGTTAGCCCCGGCTGCAATACTTATATTTGCTTGCAATTTGAATACAGATATTCAATATAAACATCAGTAGCAATTAATAACACAAATGCTCGTAATTATGTTCCTAACCAAGGTCAAAAGTTGAGGGTGTTTTTAAAACAATAAAATAGTTTGTTTCAAATCTATCCCCAACTTTTAGTTACTAGTAGTTTAAAATATTGAATCAAAGATTTATATTCTTTGACGTTTCGTTACAATACAGCACACTGTTAATAAAAGAAGGTTATAAGTCTAACTAGTTATAATGCTATAACTTTGTAAAAGTGCTACTGGAATTATGACCGCGACCGTACAACACCTTTCTTGATTATCCGACGTATCGATCGAATTGCACCGATTGATGTCGCTGAAGGACTCTTACTATATTACGATTTACCTATTGAATATTCCCTTTATATAAGACTTATAATTAGCTCCCGTTTATGTATGACTTATAAACAGATATTAGATAGTACTAATTACGGATTATTTACTTCAGTAAAAATACCAAAATGATATTTCTATTCTACTATAAACATTGAAATATAAATAAATAACAAAAGGCATCGTCCCCAAACAGAACTATTAACAAAATATAAAACTGATCAACAGACGGACGTTGGGTGAAAATGCTAGGTATTTTGAATTCCTTATTTTTCGTTTCCTTACGTACGTCGGCCAGTACAATAGCACATTCTTCAGGTACATATTTTACGTGGGCCAGAATTTCTTCGTAGACGTGAAAATTTGTTTGTAATGCTCGGTTCGGAGTACAAGTGATAAAATTTGTGTATAACTTGTTCTAGTACCTCTTTTACTATTCTCTTGCTCTATACTGTATATGGTTCATATAACATGTTATAAATGCAAAAGTTTTTATCTGCAACTCTTTTATGATAGGAATTTGAATAAAATTTAAAGTTGAAATAGGTATAATTCTAAATTACAAAAGCAATTACAAAAACACTATTTATCTCAGAGATTTTAAATTATTTTATTTCTTTTCTAAACGGACTGTATGACTTAAAAAAAATAATTACTTTGAAATTTTCCATAGTTAAAGTTTGAGATAGCTCTAAATATAACTCTAAATTACAAAAAAAAATATACAGAAACGAAGATCCGTGTAGTAGACGCTAATAAAGAGATTATTCATTAAAGACTATTACTTTTACCCTAGACTTTTTTGAAATACTTTCTACGCCTTCAATGAATTACTTTCCTGTTTTAATTTAGTGGTTGAGTTGAAATACCTTAATGTATAGATGTTTAATATATAAGTGGAAATATGTAAAAGCGGTGGAGAATCTAAGCGACCTGATGTAATCGTTTTGGATACAAATTATTTAATCATTATTTTTCTGATATCGTAAAAAAAAACAAGACTAAACAGGTTTTCTATGAGTTAAGAGAATAATATCGCAATTCGCTATACCAATGGTAGTAGACGTGTTAACCCAAGAATATTAACTAACTCCTTCTTCGATTGTCATTTTGTTAAGCAATTTTGAAGTTACAATAAGTTATAATACTTTTCGAGAAAATTTATTCTTATAGTTGTGTAGTTTGGTTGACACCAGTATAACAACAACAAATCATTACTATTAAAGCAGCACAGAAACCAATCAATCAATCGTTTGCTAAGTGTTGTTTTTGTGGACGCTCGGATTCTAAGTTAAGCTAGTATTTACCTACTTGAGGAAAAATATATATTTTAAAAATTTATAAAAAAAATTATATGTAAATAATGCTTTATTTGTTAAAAATTAAGAGTCAAAGAGTTAAGAGTTAAGAAAATGTATACCGTTTTAGCAATAGCATATAAAAGAAAACATATGAACAACAAATCAAACATAACAAAATCAAAAAGTTTTAGAAATGACTCAAACCACAAGTCAGTCAAATTAATAATGCCGTTTAACCGTCCCAAATTATCTCTACATATAGAGCTAAAACTCGTTTACGATTGATAAATCATTTCTAATCATTATAAGGAAAATATTGTAATCTTTCTACAAAACAGACATACAGATACAGAGATCATTCTTTATAATGTAGCATCAATATTTCAATATTGGGCGGTTTTGTATAATTTCGACCAGCATGGTCCAACCCATATGAGGTTACCGTAGCCGTCGTAGATGATTTCGTAGTGATCGTAGCCTCGTAGCAAAAATAAAGAAAGATTTGATGTACCTCCTTTTTTTTTTTTTTTTTTTTCCCGTGCGGAAATCCCCTCGGATACCACCTGTCGGTGGCATGTCGGACTCGAACCGACTAAAACCGCACGCCTTCGCCGGGTACTAGAGGTCGCGATCTAAGCGCTTGAGCGCCCAACGTGGTTCAGGTGGTGCCGGTCTGACCGGCGCGCCATCTGTAGGGGCGGAGACGTCAAACCGAATATATCGGTGATCCGAACCTGTCTCCTCCCCGATTGATGTACCTCCTAATGAGTCGAGGTAATGAATATAATTGTGATTGGTACAACGGTAACGGTTGGTACGGCAATTATTGTTTCATTAAATGGCAGCAAAATACTTTCTACGCCAATTAATCTTGACCTTGCATGAATAAACGAAGTCAATTAATTAAGCTTTAATCTTTTTATTGAGTTGAGAATAATAAATAATATTTTTATTTTTATGTTATAACACACACTTGTTATAACAAGCACCAACTACCAGCAGCAAATAAAATCTTAGGTATTTTCTTCTAAAGTGAATTCAATAATACGCTTAAGTACCGAATCGGTCTATTTTCTAGCTGAAATGTTTTAATGAAAATTAGTAAAAGAAAATTTTACTACTCCTAAATAAATCTGTATATGATTAATTATAAAATACAAACGGTCTCAATAGTATGATGTATTGTTATAGTAAAATCATTTTATCAATTAAATTATCTGCCGTCAAAAGGTCATGCTTTCGTGCACATCGAATGAGATAATAACAAGCTGATTGTTGATACATTATAAGTGGCTATTGAAGACCTTGGACGCTTGCAGTGCCTGCAGTTAACGCATTTACCGTCTAGACAACCTTGTAAATTAAAATGTGATTCTTGTTTCAGGAATTAATAACAACATTATACATTGGGTTCCTTGGGTTGATATTCGCATCGTTTTTGGTGTACTTAGCTGAAAAAGATGTGGCTGACACGAAGTTTAAGAATTTTGCGGAGGCTTTGTGGTGGGGCGTCGTAAGTATAATTTGTTTATTATAAAAGCCAGCTTTCCACAAGACTTACAAAGTAACTAAAACTTCAGATGAAAGGTAGGTTTGGTAACAGTAGTTATAATAGTAGTTACTCTACTTACTTTGCAATGATAAAGAAAATTAAATATTTTGTCACTTTATAAGGCATATCATATAAAAGGCAAGGGTAAAGGAATTAAAAAGAAAGGAAAAATGGGCACGCAAAGATTCAATAGCTAAACACCAGTAATAAAGATTATACGCGATTGTGCATAAAAGTATTCACGCGAAATAGAACGTGTGTGTAAGGGCTCACACACTTTTTAGGATAAAGCCATGCGCACATGTACCGTATAATAATCATAAATCCTTAGAGAAACTACTTATTCACTATAGGCAGTTCTATATCAGTTTGGTCGGTCATAAAAATGTACACAGACTAAAATACTGCATCCCGACCCAGAGAACGTTACACTGATATATATTTGTAATATTTATGCATTAGAGGTATACAAGATGTTACAAAAGTGTTTAAAGAGTAGGAGCGTTATGTAAAACCGATAAATTTATTGATAAAAAATAATTTTAAAATACCATTTTTTTTTTAACTTTTCCAAACAACTTATTGAAGTCTTGGAACATGTGTATACGTATGGTATACGTAATTGATAAAAGAATGGTATAATAAGGTATAATTGAAAATGTAAAATACCTGCAAATTGAATGGAGTGGGGACGCTACGCCAATTGGCTGAGAACATTCAATATATTGCAATTATGTCTAATCCGTAGAAGTAAGTTTAACTTAAAATTGCTTACGAGACATTTGCTTCTTAAATAAAGAATGAAGTTGTCATCAATATCATTATTTTTTACATTAACATAAATTTTTACATACTATTTACTCAAACCAGCAAAAATGTTATTCCTATTATGTCCTGAAGTTAATTGATATTGATATATACGTTTGTATTAATGGAGTTTAATTAATAAAAATCAGTCGTAATATGAAGTAGGCCGGCCGACAAAGAAAAATAAATAAAAATGTTTAATTCACAATTGAATCAACACTTAAGAAATATTTTATAAAAAGTACAAAGTACTGTATTACTGCTGTTCTCTATAAAAATTGGTTCTTAAGTTTTTCAAATTTGCAATTACTACACATAAATTCCACCTACAGATTTGCATGAAGCTATCCAGCTATCTAAACCAGTATAAATAACAGTATATAAATGCTGGCAACGGTTGAGCATATAAGTGCTGAGTTATGTGTGTGTCATCGCAGATCACGCTGTGCACCGTGGGATACGGCGACATGGTGCCTCAAACCTGGCAGGGGAAATTCATCGCCTCCTTCTGTGCACTGTTGGGAATATCGTTCTTCGCGCTACCCGCCGTGAGAAATACTTACGCTACCTAATTGATTTATTCAATCAGCGCTTGTAAGCCTAGAATATGCCCGAACTGAAATAGCTACACTTGAATCCCAATAGATATCAGATCGTAAATATATCACGTCTTTACTTTCAATTTATTCACACACTGTATTGCTTCATGAATAAGTAATAGATAAATGTTCATAAATGTGTCTCACGTACCTTACACGTAATATTTATTGATAAAACTTCCTGTCGAGTCGAATAAATATTTATCAAATTTAATATGAACAGGGTATACTGGGATCTGGTTTTGCGCTTAAAGTTCAGCAGCAACAGCGACAGAAACACATGATCCGGAGGCGACAGCCAGCCGCAACGCTTATTCAAGCCCTGTGGAGATGCTACGCGGCTGATGAGCATTCCATGAGTGTTGCCACCTGGAAGATACATCAAGTTCCTCTCCCGAGTCCACAAACCAGGTGATATTTAACTTTTTAATAGAAAAACATTCAACAACAACAAACAAAAACAACAACAAACAGTCTGAGACTGTGAATATTTTTATGTTAAGAAAGAAAAACAACTTGAAAAAGACAAAGGCACGGGACAGGACAGTCTTAGCCTTAAGCTTTAGAAATTTTCAAACGATAGCGGCGAGAGCGAGTCAATACGACAGACTTCTTTTCGACATAATGTTACAGGGAAGATACATAAGAGGGCGTTATGTCGCCGTCTTTATACTAATAGAAAAAAGTCTTAGTATTAATAATATCGTCTATAGACGTAGTTATTTTCCTAATGATGTTACATAACATTATTAAACAGATAAGATAATCTTTATTAAAATATTAAGAACATCAGTTTTATAGGTACTCGTATTACCAATGTTAGTAATGTGTGAGTGACAAATACGGTTATATTTGACAGCCGGGTGATGAGTGCGTCTTTCAAGAACAATGCCTCGTTTGTGTCGCGGTTGCCGACTATCCGCCGTCACAAAAGCACCTCCCTGCACTCCCCGGCGCCACACTCCAAGCCCGCGCATAGATACGATGTCAATGCCAGCGCTGAGAATCTTGGTAAGCATCTTACCCTTTCTTCACATTTACTACAACATACCTACATTTATGTTGTAGCTAACTCTATGTTAAAGTGTAATTATAAGTGTTTTATGACTCATTAAAACTAAAGCGAATATGAAAATACATTAATGATGACAAAATACATTCAATCAATACATTCAAATATCGTGTTTAAAATAAAAGTTTGATCACCTTATCAATGATTTACAGGAGAAAGCAATTACCGTACCCACGTTTTACTCTCATTCATTCTCATTTCAATTTAATATGTAACATTCTCAGCTATATTAACACAGCATGGATTTAAAGGACAAATTCGTGGATGAAAATTAATTGATACAATGAACATTCGGATGACTACTACAAACAAGAATATAAAATTAATAACAGGAACTCAAACTTAAATTGGCTGTACCTACCAAACAACAATAACTAATAAAAAGAAAACAAAGTGAAGAACGAAAACGACATCACATCGGAAAAAATAGTAAACATCGCAAAGAAAGACAGTTTGAGATAAAAATCAATACTAAACAATACATATAAAAAGTTCGCTGTCACATTCATCATCCACATTCAAAAAGCTATTATCGTCGTGCACTCGAATCGCATCTTTTTTCAATTGCCAACACACAAAAAGGACAAAATAATCCACACCCTCAAAATTGAGGAGCCGTTTTAATTAGCGCAGTGTTGTGCAGAGTTTGTGACGTGTGAAGAGTTTAGTGGAATGGAGTGTGATGTCATTTATTGCCCTGTTCCGTAGATAATCATACATCGGGCGGGGACCGCGCGTGTTGTCTACTACATTGTTGGAAAAGCTGCTTTAAAGGTTCTGTTATAAATATTTTAGACGGCACTATGGCATGACAATATTACAGTCGATAAACTTCTGCTGCGTTTCTTGTTGATTCTTATTAGTAAATACTTTCCGGAAATATGTGAATACACGAAAAGCGAACATGTTGACGTAGCTTTGACCCCGGACTGAATGTCAACCTTCCGGCGATAATGACTACGTCTCCTAGCTCCAGACACGATTGCTGACATCCTACTTACCTTCTACTTCCTTCTATTATTTTTCACTTTTTTTTGAAATAAAAATGCACCCGCGTAGAATTAAATATCGCTTCGAAAATTTTACAGTACTACTTGTTTCGCAATAAGAAGCTTCATATACATTTGACGAAGTGGCTTCTACATAAAAATCGCTTCCGCGTAATGTAAGTGCTAAAGTTAGTTAAGATATAAGAAAAATATTGTTATTTTCCATGGACTGCAAGGATTGAGTTCATTTAGCATCATAGATCGCGGTTCACACAATGAATTTCCAGATGATACAAGCGACCTCATGTTACTGGAATGGCTTCCTTCAGAGCTTGTTATTTAAGTTCGATTACGTATGTTAAATAAATAATAACTCAGTATTTACACTGCTTTGCATTTTTTATTATGCATGCCAGATAGTTCATAGGAAACTGTAAAATATTCATAGGTAACTTTATTATTACGAAAGTTGGTGTACGTAAGAAATTAATTAATTATTTTAGTATTTGTTAGGTGATAACATTATATAGATGAATACCTACCTATTATCAAACCTTTTTGATATTAGGCATGTTTCTGTCTTTATTTTAAATAAGAGAAATACAATAAATAATTTATTGTATTTCTCTTGAATGTATAATAAATTGTTCAATACAAGTAGAAAGTGACAGTGTTTAGAAAACATTTATCGTAATTTATAGTAAATACACGGCTATTGAAGATTTGAAAGTTATCAATAGGCCATGAAAAAAGAAGATTACTTTTCAAACGCCTAAACATTAAACCAACTGTTTTTAAAGAACAATAATGAAATACTATAGCAATATATGTGTGCGTGTGAGTGAATTCATTTCAAATTTCAACTTTCACCGTTTTAGTAAACTTGATTGATTGCTCACTCATTTCGGTTTGTTTACCTACTTATTTATAAAACATGCGTATAACGGGATTTTCTCAAACTAAAAAAAACAATAAAAATAAACAAGACATAAATAAAAAAAATGATGTTAGAGTTACAACAAACAATCGAAAAATTGTAATAAAATGAAAATGACTAAACTCTATGGCAATGTTCTAGTCCCAAAAATAAAAGTTAAAAACTTTTGCTATAGGAAAACATACATTTTCATTTCTATGCGGACCGACTACTAGTAGTTTATCCGTATTCACGCCCGAATTACCAAACAGTAATAGTAGCCTCCCTATCGCCATTGTTATCTATATGCAAATTTGATAACTCGAAAAGAAACTATAGTTTGAACGAAAATAATTTAAATGAAAGGATTATTATAATTAATGTATATATTTTCTCTGTAAGTTCATATTGTCTATAATATTATATATCCAACGCAGCCTTGACTTAAAAATCCATAATAAACACTAAAACATTAAACTTGAAGCTCCTCAGTGACCTTAGCTCTCTGGATATCAATCACAATATTCATAATTATGGTGTTTCAATCAGTATAAATAATGATAATTGCAGACATATGCTTTATTATGTACATATGTAGGTACTAACTACATTCATAAAGCGTTTGCACATTAGCTAGAAAGAGACGAAGAGTGGATCGATAGTTTACCCGAGGCATTAAATGGCAACCGCTGCATTGACCTTATTATTTAGGTATTTCTACGATGTTGTTAGTAAAATTATAAAATTCAATTAACGTCAGTATGTAAGTGATCGGTCTCTTCTCAAAGAGCAATATTGTATTAATGTAATAATTTTACATATACGTAATACAAATGCCTAATAAAAAATTATATTCTTTTTTAAATTAGTACATCACTGAAAAAACGTTACAACATGTGACAACATAAAGTCACTTCTCTTCCACCCTTAGCCGTCTCATAATACTAATGACTAGGTCCCACTTAAAAGCGGGTATAAAGGGATTCCCAACCCAAGACGATTTCTACGGCCCTGTAATATAAAACAAGATGAAAGACGAATCCTACTTTGCATAAGCTACACAGCGTTGCGTAGCAGATTTTATTCAAATTATATTATTTAGACAGGCTCATCGGATAATAGACACCTAAACGGTTTTGTACATAAATGATATATCAAATAATATGAATATTTTGTCACGTGTCTTATTTATTTAACTTTTAAAACTGATAAACTTTAAGACATTACATTCTCACAAATAGTTTACAATAAATGTATTTAGTTTAGTCACTTTTTTCTCGGAGCTATATATACTCTAGACTTAATAATTAATTCCAAACGACACGTAAGTACCAATTATAAATAAAGCTATTCAATTCTAGCCCAAATTAGCAAAAAAGGATTGTACTTAGAACGACATTTGATAGACAGACTGCACTTTGTAATTTACAATAGTTTAAAAAAAGTCGGTTCAAGGCGCAATAGACACTACAATTACAATCAATTACTCGAAAGTCCCCTATATTACATTTATAACAGATGTATTCCTACAATCTGTACGGCTCTAAGTTAACACCGACACACAGACAAGGGAAAGGAGAGGTAGTTTGAAGCGGTTTATAAACGAGTGTGGGTCCAGTGTTGAAGTGAGCATGTGTGGCTTGGCAGGCGCGACCAATGGACGCACAGGGCGCCCGCGACCCGTCAACCCGTCACACAGCGAGGAATCAGTGGCGGAAACGGCACTCTCCAAGAAAAACTCTGATGGTAAGAAGTGGAAAAGCCAACAATATCTACAAATAGCTGTATTTCGTATTAGGCAAAACTGTTTGTCATTGAGATGCTCTTTCTGTCGCTTTCGAGTAGATTAACATTCTTCACTAGGTGTATGTACATACAAATGTAGTGTATGTGGTTTGATGGGTTCGATATATTTCAAACACATGCACTACTTTTTGACACCTAGAATGTATCACAGAAAATTCCACTTAGATGTGTTGACTGTGTAAAAAAAATATATCAACTAACTCAATAGCTATCGACACTTGCTTTATACATCTAGATCTTAAGCAGTAAGGATAAATATCTTCACATTCGTTCATCAATAAGTAAGTTGTAAGCTACCTTTCGGATGCACTAATTTCTGTTAGAAATATCAACTACAGTAATACCTACACGATGATTGTTTATGAATGAGTACTTAGCTATGTAGTTTGTAGACCATTTCATTGAAGATACAACATTTTCTAGAATGAGTATGCATTTTACAGGTGAACGTATCTTAGTGCTAAATTATGACGTGTTATAAATCTATCACATATGTCTTTTATGTACATCAATGCCTAATATTTTGTATGATAACATACAATTAAAAAAACTGTAAGCATGCATAAACAATACAAATATTATAATATTTTAAGGCACAATAACGCATGCAACAATTTGGAAATGCAATGTGTGGACTGTGGACATGAATTTATCTAATATTGCTAATATTAATATAGTTAACACGCACTCTGCAATCGAAGAAAATATATTTTCAAAGACTTGCTAGTATATTTGTTCGGATTGTTATTGATTTGACTTATACCTACGTCGTATACTTATATATTAATATACTATTATGTAGTATTTTATCGAAAATGTATAAAGATACCTTAGTCTTAGTAAATATTTTGTAAAAAATCAGTGACTATTCATAGACACGGTGGTGGATTTAACGTGAGTACATGTAAATGGTAATCTGTCTTTAATTAAGTAGGGGTCAAACTGCTACTGCCAGTTTTTCTTAATGTATTCGATGATTACCTAAGCGTTTAGTACAGGGTTGCCCATGTTAGAAGAACGTCTATGATTAGGAGGAAAGCAAAGTCCTCTAAAACATCGGTGGCATAAGTATACGATTTTATTATTTTGAAACCAGAGGATTCATTGAAATAAACGAATAACCTACTGTATGTCGTGTCTTTCCTGCGTAGTAACTTCGACACCATCAGACCGGCTTTTTCAATGTCTGACTGTCAATTTCCGTTGTTAGTAATTGTTCAGATGTTCCGTGATTGAAAACCGTTATAATTTTAAATTTAATAACCTATATTTGTTAAGAATACGGCAAAAAAGTTCTACTCCGCTTTTATATCATTTCAGTCACACTTCGTATTTTCAACTATCTACCTTAGATAGTTCATGAGATACAGGTTTATAGGTAAGCGGGCATAATATTCTCTAGTTTAATAGAGATAGGCTTGGCCGCCCGAGCTACAGATGTCTAGTACATCTACATCGGGGTTGATCTGTTCGAACACTTTCGTTCTTTTATGTCCCCGACACGGCTTCATCCCTTGGATAGCTCTTGAGAAGCCCTTGTCAACTGTATACGATCTCTATATTTTAACTTATTTTATTGATTGGTATAGGATCGTATATGATTCTTTTATGCACCTAATGTTTGTTTTCATCAGATTTTTGACATGCCTCCCATTTTGAAGAACATTTGAAATTTTTAACTCTCAGACTTATACATAAACGTATTTATTAGGCAAAAAGCACATTTAATAAATGATGGATTTAAACATTTACTTATTACAAATATGTAATTTGATGCAGTGCTGAGAAATCTTTCTATAGTAAGTAATATACAGTCCATAACGTACCGTTCATGTTTAAGAATTAAATTTTGAGACAGGTTTCGTACTACAGTCCTGAAAAGCCAGGGTTTTCTTTCGTTGTAAAGGCCATGTACATCATTCATCCCCTCTAATGGAACCGCCCAATTTATCACCGCTTCAGTATCTAATTTTGGGGACGAAACGTTAACAGATGTTTTTTATACCTTGAACTTTACATTTTTAACTTTTTTGTGTCATCGATTTTGATATTACGCGGACTTCTCATATTTTTTTTATGTACATCCACAGACTTATCGTCCCTCGTTAATATACGAGTATTTTATACAAACACTATCTGACCCAGCAAACGTTGTTCTGCCATAATATTCATACAAAAATCCTAAAATCGCGATTGAAAAATGGGGGCTCCCATGGATCTGGATAAGAGGGTGAAAAATACTTTACGACCTACCACATAAACAAAAGAAAATAAGTAATATTTATAAATTAAATTAAGCCATTTCTTCATAATAAGGTATTAAATGTATATCTAATACAGTCTTCAATTAAAAATAATTTAAAACGGTTAGGGAATATACTCCTACAGTTAAGTAGTTAGTTTAGAAGTAGGCATGTCATAAAATAACTACTTAAATTTATTATAAGTTTTACATTTATCTGACAGATTTTGTTTATCTTAACACTGAGATCTCAAGGAATTAGTATTTTGCAATAGTTATAGGTAATTTCGTATGATTAAAATTAATTATATTTATTTGAAAACACCTGCACAGTCAAAGAGAGTATCGGCAGCGGCTGTCAAAAAATGAAGCAACATATAATATAGAACTTTCATTTACCTAGTGGTTTTACTGACCAGACTATTGATGCTGTTATTTTTAAGATACTTGGAAAACATTGAGTCTCAAACATACATATCATATTTCATTTACCTGGCCTATAATTTCTGTGATACAATAGGTATCATAAGATTTAATTATTACTATACCACTTTTCATATCATTAATCCACAATTTTTGAATTGAAAATGAAATAATGAAAACAAAAATTTTGAATTTACTGAACCTAATATACGTAATATAAATATAAACATTTTATACGCCAATATTTTTTTTTAATATCTTGACTAAAATTTGTCAAATAACATAAGGAACTTCGTTCCTATCGGGTATCCCACGAGACCACATGGCTTGTTTTGTTCTAATATTATTATTAGTGTGAACTAGTGGGAATCCTTGAAGATGTGTTTCGCTTTCGAGTAGTAGGGTTGCCATATTATGTGTCCAAATTAAAATCAACAAAATTTTGCAGTTTTTTTTTTAATAAATAAAGATCGCTGACATAATCACCATCCAGACCGGGGGGTCTGGATGGTGATTATGTCAGCGATCTTTCGTGTCATCAAAAATAAGAAAATCAAAGACTCCCCCTTCCCCTGTCCGAATAAACAAAGTCTATGCAGTTGCCTATTCTATCAAGACTGTCATTTTTAGTAATTTAGGCATCATGGAACAACGAGTACATGTTTCCTCGATTTGGATATTTTTTGTTGGGAATGATAAAATTGGTTCAATGGTCATAAGGTGAAAATCTGATAATAGGATCCTGGAGAAATCTAAGGAACTCTTTAAAAATTATAGTCGATGTGCCTATAATATTAATAGCGATTTAGGTATTTTTAAGAAAGAAAAAAGCCATTTCGTAGAGTGGTGCTGATGTTGAAGACTGTGGTTACTGGATAATTAAATAAAGAAAATTATAGGCAATTGATATAAATAAAAAATTTTGTTGCTATTTATCATACTGTAAGCGCATAGAAGTTATTAACATTTTTTTTTAGTAAGATAATTATCTGAGAAAGTATTTTAGCGCTTTATTAACAGAACTTGTCACTTTTGTAACATAAAATTTAAAAAAATACTGGATTACTCGTTTCTCTTTAACTCACTACCTACATTTGATGCGACTTTTGTGTTTTCTTCACCGGAATTCTTTTTACTGCCTAACTTGTCTGACCATCAATTTTTTGTAATGATTGATGAAGACTGTCATTTGACTATTCACCACAGCAGATGTAGTAATAGTGATTATTATAAACAAGACAATAAATAATTTTGAATTAGTATAAAGAGGAATGTAGAATTCATCCAACACTATTCGTTCTATTCTTATTCTCAAATCAAGTGGCGGGAGAGCTTAACGTTTTTCTTCAAAACGTTTTAAGGCTGGAATAAAATTAGCAGAATTTAATCGGATATATGTATAATCTCTATGCTACAACGTGATATGTGCCTATGTCAAAATCCTTTTTTGCTAAATATTTTGCAAAAATCTGTTATTATATATCTGGTATTGTATTGCAAAAGTGTTATACGTGTTTCCTTATTTAAAAAACAGTGGTAGGTTTTACTTCTGCTGTGTGTGCAATTCATACACAGCAGAAGTAAAATTTCAGAAAAAAATATTTTTCAGTTTTAAAAATATATAAAAAGATAAAAATATTCACACTGTCAAAATATTATATAAATATTATATTTTTTTACACATAATATACACACAAATATTATTATGTGTGAAATCAATACAAATAAGTTACTAATATTAATAAATTTAATCTTAGATAATTTATATAAATAAAAACTATTTATCAAATTAACACAGATGTTAAATACATACATAACATAAATTAATTAACCAACGAATTTTAATAATAAAACACGTGAAGGGTACACCACGTTGTTTATGACACATTTTCTGAGGGCATCGTTGTACGCAGGCGCAAAGACACGTGATAATATAGAGGAGACGAAGATTACAGAAAACCCTGTATACTTGTAATCTATCTCATTCTCTCGTAGGTTAAATCTTATTTATGAAAATGTTTGTCTCTTTTTACTGTCACTTCCGTTGTCACTTTCGTTTCAACGAATTTTCAAATCACCACGTTGCTAAAGAAGTTTTATTCCAAAAAGAAATAGTGATTAAGGTAAATTTTTTGGCACGAGGGAATTATTCATTGTAGATGATAGTAAAATATTCTATCACATCTTAACAAATAGCGTTTAAATACAAAAAAAAGACGTGTGGCACTTGGGGACTGCCGCGGTAAAGCTATTGCATAGCATTTTTTATCAACTT